GTTGCTTATATATTGTCAGGCAGGAAAACTTCAATAAAGGCATAGACTGGTGAGGAGCTGTAAATAACCCAGGTGCCACTCAGGCAGGTGTGTTTTCATGGGACACAGGCTTGAAGTCTTTGTTTCCAGCTTTGAAATGCTGGTGGGTGCAGAATGAATTAAATTAAAAGATTTAAGCTCTAAATGAGACTCCCATACCTGTAAATTAGACTCCTAATATCTACTTAACCTGTTGGAGCTTGGTGGCAATGTCCACAATCTCAGGTGAGATTAGGGAGCACTGCAGGTCCCCCAAATGCTGATTGTGCTGTAATTAAGCAGTGCTGATGCAGGTGATGCTGTTCCTGCTGATGGATTCCGGGGAGGACAGGTGTTAACCTGACTCTCCTTCCAGTGTGAAACAAATCACTACCAGGGCATTGTTGGAATTCGTGTCCCCCGTGTCCCCAGGCCTGCGGCAGGACTGCGCCTCCAGCTCCGCCTCCGTGTCCCGCCGCAGCTCCAGCGCCTCCCTGCACTCGCTGCGCCGCGGCACCTACAGCGACCAGGAGTTCGACACCTACAGCCTGGAGGACGAGGACGACTGCGACTGCTCGCTGTCCTTGCGCAGCGCCCACCGCTACTCGCCGTCCCCGCTGAGCTCCCCGCGCTGCCAGTCGCCCTCCTCGGGCGCGGAGCTGGGCAGGGCCGCGGCGTCGCGGCTGCGCGCCCCGCGCAGGGCGGTGCAGAGCCCCATGCAGGAGCGCCTCAAGTACGCCAACAGCGAAGGTGAGGATCTGAGCTAGGGAAGGGCCTTCTGGCACACACGGATCCCCCTGCAGGGCTCTGGGCTGGGGGCCTGGAGTGCTGCTGGGCAGGAAGGGAGCTGGCGGTGCTGGGTGTGGGCCAGCGCGTGCCCAGGGGTCAAGGCCAAGGGACACAGGGGATGGACAGACCACAGGATGGCCACAGGACCATGGCAGGGATTGTCCCCTGTACTGGGCACAGTGCTGTATGTTGTTCTGAGCCACTCACTACAAAAAGGACATTGAGGGGCTGGAGTGTGGCCAGAGAAGGGAGTGGGCTGGAGCACCAGAAGTGGCTGAGGGACCTGCAGTAGTTCAGTCTGGAGAAGAGCAGGCTCAGAGGAGATGTTACTGCTCTCTGCAACTCCTGACAGGAGGGTGCAGCCAGGTGGGGGTTGGTCTCTTCTGCCCTGTCCCAAGTGAAAGGACAAAGAGGAAATGCCTCAAGTTGCACCAGGAGAGCTCCAGGTTAGGTGTTAGAAGCAATTGGTTCCCTGCAGAAGTGGTCAGGCCTTGGAATGAGTTGCCCAGGAAGTGGTGGAGTCACAATCTCTGTGTGGCTTAGGGGTGATCGTGGTGGTGCTGAGTTGATGGGATGGTCTTGAAGGTCTCTTCCAACCTCCTTATCCTGTCATTTCACAATCACTGCTGTTTACTGGGAGCTAAGAACTAGCTACAGACTGCTCTGCTTTTAAGTGCATGGGATTTTCCAGAGAGCCTTTTAGCAGCAGCAGGGGCTGAGGCTGTGTTTGCTTTCAGAGGAGCTGAGGCACAGCATGCCCAACCTGGCCCGCAGCAGCCTGCGCGCGCTCGAGGCCGTGCGCAGCAGCCGCAGCCTGGAGTCCGACCTGCAGGTGCCCAGCAGCCGCATCCCCAGGACTCAGCAGCGGTCAGCAGGTCAGTGCCACACCTCCCACACGCCTCCATTCCCTTCTCCCCTTAGCCAGCCCTCAGAGGTGCTCTTGTGTCCCTGCAGGTCTGACTCCCAGCAAGCTCAGGTATTCCTCGGGGGCCGCGCAGTCCCCGCTCACGGGGCGCCAGCCCGGGAAGGCGGCCTCGGGAGCCAGCTCCCTGCTGCCCGGCAGGCAGGTGGGGAAGCCCTGCAGCTACACGGCTCCTGTCCCCCCAGTCCGCAAGCCACAGCTCCACACGGGCTCTCCCAGCAGCAGTTGCACTTCCAGAACCACCACCATGGTCACTGTGGCCAAACCCTCCGCCCTGAAAGCACGGCCGGGTGTGGGAGGGGTGGCCGTGCCCAAGGGAAAGGCAACGCCCCCGTCCAGGAGGTGAGTGGGGCTTCAGACCTCTTTGGCATCGTGGTAACTTCATGCCATGCTTTGTGGGAGAAAGCAGAGCATGGGGGCTGGTGTCACAACACTTAACAGTTTTTGTTCTTGTTGCTCTTTTTTTAACTGTTGTGCTACAATTCATTATTGAGGGAAATTAAATTGATTCAGAATTACTATGATATGACTGATATCAGGCTAATAAGCAACCAGTGCTTGTTAATCTTTCTTGTCCCACTGGAGCCTTACTTTGAAATGTATCTACTTACTTTAAAATTTTCCTTTTTCATGTTTTTAATCTCCTAATTGATGCCATACTCTACATACCCGATTATTTTTCATGTGTTTAGTTATATTTGTATGGAAAAAATATTTCCTTTGGACTCAGTCACGGGTTGATGTCACAAAAGTGTTAATTTGGCAGATATCAGTGTTTAAAAATACAGTAACGGCCACTGAATTTCCTTAAAGTGCCTCAAGTTGGTGTTTGCTGATGCTCAGGGTGTGACAGCAGCACTTCACCCATGGCAGGGGGATGTTGGTAACCCAAACCCCAAACCTGTGCCATTACAGGGCTTTTCCTAGAGCTGTCCCTGATTTGTTTTGTCGTCCCCCCCAGGTTCCTCCAGGCAGCACAGACCCCCCAGGCCCCCGAGGATGACTCCTGGAAGGATGGGTGCTACTGACAGCCCAGAACACCTCCGTGGAGCAGATCCCAGCTGGCTGGGCATGACCTCATTGGAAAAGGCCCCGAGCCCCTGTCCCTGCAGACTGCTGTACATATCCCTCATTCTGTGCTCTCCACACCTCCCACCTCCCTCTGCTCTGCCAGGAGCTGGGGCTCACAGCTCCCACCCTCCACTGAACCCTGAGTCTTCCCAGGAAGACTGGAAAAGCCTTATTTCATCCACACCCCAGCTGCAGCCCTGGGGAAGGTCTGTCACCATCCCCTCCCAGGGATGCTGCAGAGCTGGGGGTGTCCTCTCTGTGCCAGAAGCAGCTCTGAGCTGGTGCTGTGGCAGAGCTCGTAGAGAGTAGAAACAGTGACATAGGTGTTAGATTTGAGAGTTTTTAAACCCAACCTGATGTACTCTAATATTTGTCTGGAATTCAACTGGGTTTGGTTTGTTGGTTTTTTTTTACTTCTGTATAGAATGTATTTCTGCTACTTTTTATTGTTTGGTCTAGAGCTGCAGCAGGTTTTTATAACTGTAGAACACCGAGCTGTTGTATCCAGGTGTCAGCACAGGTCATGAGCAGTACACAATATTTGTGTGGGGTGTGAACAGGCAGGGACAGGGACACCACTTAAAAACTGCTGGGCACCAGCACCTTACCTCAGCTGAGCGAGCTCAACACCACTTAAGAGAAAACTTTTTAAAAATCCCCTTCCCTCACAGCTTTGTCTTGAAGTGTTGGAGGATCTCAGCTAGTTCCCAACTGCCCTGACTTTCGTAGAAGTTTTCTACTGTCTCTTAGGGATTCTGTTCCAGTGTCCTTTTCCTCAGCAAGTGCTGGATGCTACAAATACAGTCTTAGTCCAGGAAATATGCACTGATAGCAATGTTCTCCCTGCCATCAATGTGACTTTGATAGTGTAGTTTAATAAAATGTTATGGTGCTGAAATGGATTTGCTTTATTCCAACAGTGAGTTTTGTGCCACGAATGAGGCTTCTTCTGACAGAAGCGAGCTCTGCAAGGATAAACAGGGCTCCAATAAAGTCTGGTAGGATGCAAGGAGTGAGATTTACCTTTAATTCCTCAGAGATCAGAAGGACAAGGCACCCAGTGTGTGCAATTTCTGAAACATCCACATGTGGCCTGAGCAGAACCAAAGGCAGGAAGCACCACAGGGGAAGTTCCTGCACCACAGGGATCTCTTGTGATCCAGGAAAAGAGGAAGGGACAGTTTGCCCACAGTGCTGTGAGGGGGCCAGGAGTGTTCTGTGCCACCAGCCAGCCCCTGCCAGGCCAGGGCTGGCACCAGCAGCACTCACAGGGCAGAGAAGGGGCCCAGGAGCCTCAGCTGGAGCTGCTGCTTTGTCCCTGGCTGTCACCCCCACCCTGATAAAGCTCCATGGGGTCCCAGCACTGCCCTGTTGAGGCTCTACCCTCATCCAGAACCTTCTTTTCTGAGACCTCTCCCTGCTGGCACAGCTGGACCCTGCTCACATTGATCTTCCCAGGGCACAGAAAGGTAAAAGAGTAGTAACATGTCTGATTTCTCTATTACTGGAGAGTTCTGTTGCCTTTCCTGTGCCCCATATCCCAAAGGGGATTTTCCAGGCCCTACCTTCCTCCACTCACCTGAGTCAAGAACTGCTGCTCTTCCATGGACACGCAACAGTAGGTGAAGAACAGAAACTTCTGAAAGAATCAGGTATTAATTAGTTGAAGGCGACATCCCAGTTAAAGCCCTGCAGGCAGGGGGATTGTTTCCATATTTTCCAGCCTAGCTGGCTGTGGAGATGCAGACCTGGATGCAGTTCCAGGCTGAACAGAGCAGCAGGAAGGTGCTGAGGTTGGATTTTGCTGGGATTCCCAGGTGTTTCCAGTACAAACCTGATGCTGACAGGTACTTGGGAGAGGCTGTCCCACTTCAGCAGGGAACAGAGCACAGCTCTGACAGAACCATCACACTCTGAGCTGTTAATTTAATTTTATCATTTTGTTTTTCTGAGCTGTTCTCACACCAGGTGATCTCACTTCAGCTCCCAATATTCTCTATCATCCATGTCCTGGCTGACACCATTAAAATGCAGCTTTGCCTCAAACTGAGATAACAATCAACAACTCCCAACAATTTCTGCAAGTCAAGAGGAAATCCAACTCCCTCATCCCGAAGCATGAGCCTGCTTCCAAAACCTCCCCCTGCATCAGCATGGAGCATTCCCAATGTAGGTGTTCCACAGAACTATGGAACTCTGCTTTCTGTACAGGAATTTTATTGAAATCAAGGTAATGGTTTTTTACACTAATGCCTCAGTGCATCCTTGAGAAGGAAAGGAAGGATTTTCTTTAAAAATTGTTTGTACATAAGACAAGAAATCATCCAAATGAACATTGTAACAGCACGATCCCTAAAACATGCACAGCTGGACCTGGGGCTGCAGGAGCTGCAGGGAGGGGGCTCCAACTTTACATTCAGAACAGAAGGAGAAGCAGGTGCCAGTGGCCACTGGCACTTTGTGGAGATCAAGATCCAATCACCCTTGGTGAAATTTCAGCCTAGCAGAAGACAAATCCAAAGGAGCTACTGTTCATAGGAGACTGTGACTCTTTAGCTGGCCCTGCTGGGAAGTTCCCTGGTCAGTGCCACAAGGGAAGGAGCAGCAGAGCCACCTCCCCACCCTGCCAGTGTCACCAGGACCTCAGGGCTCCAACTTCGTGCTCCAGCTCAGACACCAAAAGAAGCCTCCCCTTCCATCCCTCGAGTTCCCTGGGCCAAAAGCAGATTCCTTCCCCCTTGAAACGTGTTTCCATTTGTTCTGTGGGAAAGGAGCCCCCTGAGCTCCAGGACAGAAGTGTCCCCAGCTTTTTCCCAGGCCCCAGCAACTCCAGCTCCTAGCCAGGCCTGGCTTGGGATGGAGATGTGCAGCTGGCACAGAAACAGCACCCCTGAGCCTGCATTTGGTTACCAGCCTTGGGTTTGGTTTGAAATCCTCCCAGAGGAGAACGTTCATCCTCTGGCAGAGCCTTTCTCTCTCAGACCTTGGAGAAAGTCACCAGCCACCAACTCCAACCCTTCTCTGTCCTCCAGTTTCAGTGCACACCTTCCAGGAGAAGCACAAGCAGCAGCTCCCTGACACCTCAGCAAACCAGACTGGCCCCAAATTCACCGTAGCCAGTGCCAGAATTATACTCATTGCAGTCCACCCTCCAAAGAAGAGCAGGAGAAATCATCTGTGAGGAAGGAGATCCTGAACCGTGTGCAACTGGGCCCATTGCTGTGTCCGTTCAGCCACCAGCCCAGGGGGAGATGAGGAAGAAGTGAGGATGAAGAGGCAGCCATTGCACACGCTGAGGTGAGCCCAACACCCTCCTCCTGCCTGCAGGATCACTGCAGGAACAGGGAGATGTCCCCAGCAGCAGCACCTCCACCCGTGAGTGCACAAAGCCCAGACCCCATTTGTTCCTACCAGGGTGACGCCGTGACCTCCCCATGGTGCAGCACAGGGAGCCACCACATGTGGCCAGATGTGCAGGAGAGGCTTTGTGGGACCCAAACCCACCTGTCCCCGTTAGCTTGGCTCCTCTGTGGGACAGTTCCATCCCAGGTGGGAGAGCTGCAACCACTCCTGTCCCCACCCAGAGGAAGCCACACGGACACAGGGCCAGCATACACAGAACCCTCCGCAGGGGTGGCATTGGGACAGCAAAAGGAACACAAAAACCCTTTCAAGTAATTAACCCAGCCCACTCTTGAGGTGACAGCTGTGGGAGCAGCGACCAGCTGGGTCTGTCTGGGCGGTAAGGCAAAAAGTCTGAAGTCCTGGAGGGATTGGGAGGTGGAAGGTGGCAGTGGTGACAGGTGGGAGTCACTCTGGAGGTTCCTTCTTCACACTCTGCCTCATCTCCTGGCGAGCAGCTCCAGCTCCAGTTACTTCTGCACACAGCTGGGCCAGGCCAGCCCGCCACACACGGCCGACAGGATGATGTACAGGATCACCTGCGGGGGGAATTAGGGATTCTCAGCAGTTACTGACTGCCACAGCACAGACCTGGAAACCCCAGATGGTCAAAGCCTTGAAGAACGTGTCTAACACCCTGCTGTTCCTTCCACACCCCTGCAGCTGAGAAGTGTCCCCATGGAGGTGACAAAGTGCTTCCCACCCTGACCCTGCAGTTGCTCCATCCACAGTCCTCACAGCTGGAGAGGAACTGTCACACCAAAAAAAGCCACTTCAGAGTCACAGAAAGAGATCCCACCAGGACTGAGAACTCAAAAGTCACCTCAGCTCAAGCAAGGCACCTCAGCTGTTCCTGGGGCAAGCAGGGGCAGCTCCTGCCCATGGTGCTTCCATCTGCTCTCAGAGGGTGACAAAGGTTGAAGAAGACCTCCATGATCATCAAATCCAACCTTTGATCAAATCCCCCTGTGTCCCTTAAACCATGTCACGACGTGCCACATCCACTCATTTTCTGAACACCTCCATGGTGACCCCAGCACTGCCCTGGGCTTCATCTCTCAGGCAAGGAATCTTTCCTAATATCCAACCTGAATCCCCCCAATGCAACCTGACCCCATTTCCCCACTTGCCTGGGAGAGGAGGCCAATCCCCACCCCATCACAACCTCCTTCCAGGTACTCACAGAGCCAGAAGGTCCCCCCAAGCCTCCTCTTCTCCAGGCTGAGCCCGCCCAGCCACTCCCTGCAGTACTGATTGCCCAGGCCCTTCACCCTCTCCTCACACAAGCCCATGGGGACACTCTGCCCTCCCAGGCAGAGCTGGGCACACAAAGATCCCAGGACAGCGACAGGGGTTTGGAGTTTCCAGGGGTTCAGCCTGGCACAGCAGCTCCAGGCTCCACACTCACAATGGACACGATGATGATGACGATGGTGAGCTTGAGGTTCTTCATACACATGGCTCGGGCAAGGTTCCTGCTGGTGGTTTTGAAAGTGACTGACTGCAAGAGAAAACAAGGGAAATCCCAGGATGGATTGGGCTGGAAGGGACCTAAAACTCATTCAGTGCCACCCCCTGCCATGGAAGGGACACCTTCCATAATCTCAGGCTGCTCCCAGCCCCAGTGTCCAGCCTGGCTTGGACTCTGCCAGGGATCCAGGGGCATCCACAGCTGCTCTGGATAACCTGTTATGGAAAGCTTGTGGTTGTCCTATCCCAAGTGTCCCTGCAATTCCATGCATCCAAAATAGGATTTGGGCACCAAATGACCCCAAACCCCTCCAGGCTGGTTCAGTGCAGCCATTCCCATTCCCCACACAGCTCAGGCAGGATGCACCTGCCCCTGGAAGCAGCCATTCCAGCAGCTCATTCCACTGGGCAGTGCCAGCTTTTCCTACCAACCACCCTCCATGAGGCTGCAGCAGGCAGGAACCACAGCCCTGGGAGCTGCAGTTCTGCCGTGGGGCCGTTCCCAAGGTGGGGAATACCAGCCCTGGGTCTCCAGGGATGCCTCCTCCTGGGCTCTGGGACATTCCCACTGAAGGATGTTCCATCCCTTCAGCTCCCTGTGCTTTCCCAAAGCCCACACTCCATGGGACAGGTTCTCCACGAGCTCAAGCCAGCTGCTGAAGGAATTCCAGTCCTTTTCCCTAAAGCTTTACCTGACCTTTCAGCCCTGCCACCACCTGAGGACAGGGGCAGGTCTGAACATCTGGGAGCTCCAAGACTGTTCCCTGCTGGATAAACTCCAGCATCTCTGCTGCCCTCCAAAGCAGGAGGGCTTTGGGACAGCTCAGGGATGTTTGGATCCCACACAGGAGCTCCTGGCACTCTCCCAGCCCAAGGACTGGATGCCACAGGAGCTGGGCACCAAGCCAGGATGCTGCAGAGGAGGATGCTGAGCCAGGGCCAGGGATTCCCAAAGGAAAGACAAAAAGCTTCCAGAGTGCACAACACTTTGCTAGCTAACTGTGCTTTATAATTACATTAATTTGGGTTTTTTTTAGTCTTCATTTCCTCAGAAATGCTCCAAGAAGCTCTGGAGTCTTTAAAGATTATTTAGATGCAACAACTCAGCTTTTTTAATTTTAAATCAGCCACACTTTCTCTGCTGGTATCAGAACAACTCCACAGATGCACATTTTCCAGTTTATTTGCATCCAGCTGCCTTCAGCCCAGGCTTCCAGGGAAATGTAAATTGTGATTTTATGTCTCCTATCACTGCAGATAATGAGAGGGTTTTCCCCACTTGGGCACAAGGGATGAGGACAGGGATGTGTCACTCCTGGCTGGCTGTTGCACAGCGAGCAGAGGGAAGCTGGATCTTTCCCAAACTGAAAAGCAGCTGGGAAACAGCTTGGAAGGGGAAGGATTCCCTGCAGGTCTCGATTCCTCTGTGTGCTTTAAGTGTCTCCAAGTGCTGTCCCCACCTCCCTGCTCCCTGGGGGGAGACTCACCGAATCCACGAGATTCTCTGTTTTATCAATCAGCAGCTCCAGCTTCTCTCCTCTTTGTGCCACAAGGTCTGGAGAAAAGAGACAAAAAAATCCAGCTCTGAAGGCGAAATCCCAGGGCAAAAAGCTGCTCCCAAGCCCAAGCCAAGAGCTCCTGGCTGTGGCTTCAAGCCTCCCTGGGATAACCAGGGCCCTAGGGAACAGCCTCGCATCACACCAGCTGCATTTTGGGACTGAATTCTGCTCAACTCCAGATCTCACCCTCTATTTTGAGTGGTCAGACATGGCAACACCCAAACCCAGAACAAAAGCAGGTGCAGAGAGCATTTCCCAAGGAAGCAGTACCTATGTTCCGGACCATGATCCCTTTGAGTTCGTCGATCTGGGCTTGTGTCTCTGCCACCTGGTCTGGGCCCTTGCTCTCCGAGTGGTATTTCTGCAACAGACAACATCATGTTTTACTCTTTCAGCTAGGTCTTATGAGCTCTAAGAGGAATTTATTACACTTGAGATAGCTCTGCTGCTTGGAATGGTACAAAACTAGTAGGATGGTTTTTTAGGTTATGTTGGAAGCAGAAAGAGGTTTAAAAAAGGCAAAATAACAAAGCTCTTACAGAGCTCCTGTGCTGAGGGAGATGGAAAGGCTGGGATATTCCTCTAAAATGGCTCCCCATGGCTCCAAAGACAGCCTGGCTTTTCTGATAAGGCAATTCCAGCTTATTCCAGCCCTGAAGAGCTTATAAACTGATGAGTCAGCACTTCGGGTAGTTTCAGTCCCCACACACCAAAGCCTGGTGGAGAGGAAAAGCTCCCTCCTCACACACAGGAAGTTAATCCTATTCATTACACACTGGCATTGTTATTCCTTGCTCTCCCCCTGCTGTGGGAGGCAAGGAGCAGCTCCTGGAATGAACTCCAGCGACTCTCCCTGCTCCAAACCACCTGCACAGCCCCAAATTCCAGTGCAAACTTCAGGCAGGAGTAATGCAGGTGCAAATCCTTCCTCAGAGCCCTGGCCTCACCCTGCACCACCACTGGTACAGCTGGAACTGCTCCACAATTCCTACACTGGGGAGAGTTTTGCTGTCCCCACAAAGCTGTGACACCCCCAAATCCAGCCCTTCCATGGGGTAAGCAGCAAAAGAGCCAAGCCCTCCCTGGAGAACAGCCCCAGCAGAGCTCTGAGAGCCTCCCACCCCACCAGAGGCTGGGGACAGCCCTAAAGCCACCATTCCCAGGACACCTCGTCTTTAATCCAAGGGACGTCTCAAACCCCCCCAAAACCCCAGGCAAGGAGGATTTCTGGGGGAGCAGCCAGGGCCCTCACCAGCTGTGCAGCCAGCACGGAGGAGAACTCGCTGTTCATGGCGTAGGGCAGGGCGGTCTGCGCCCGCGAGCCGTACGTGGTCTGGAACCGCTTCTTGATCTCGTTCAGGAACGTGAAGGCTCTGGAGCGCTCAAAGTCCTGCCAGCAGAGAGCACAGAGAGTCAGGACACACAGCCTGCAGGGCTGGGGCTGCAGCTCCCAGCTCTGCCTGCCTGTCACACTGCCTGGGACACTGCCAGCCCCATCCTCCGAGGGGGAGGATTTCCTGCAGCGCTTCCAGAGCACCAGGCAAGTTCCACCGGCAACTGGAATGGTCTTTGCACCAAGAGAGAAACTGGGCAAAGCCAAGAATTTCACCCCAAAACTCACAATCCACAGGACTGGAAGGTCCCTCCCATGGCAGGGCTGGAATGGGATGATTTTCATGGTCACTCTGGACCCAAAGCATCCCACAACTCCAAATTGAGCTCCAGGCTGAGTTCAAAGCTGTAACTGAGGTTACAGCAGCTCCAGTGGGAGAAAAGGCACCTCAGAGCAGCCCTTACTAAAAACTGCCATATGGAAACCAAAATCCCCCAATTTCCCAGGGCCTGCCTGGGCTGTAGCTGTGTCCCCAGTACTCACATCATCTGTGATGCACAGGTAAATGATCCTGTCCTGGCATATGTAATGGAACAGGTAACTGCAGGGAATGGAAAGGAACAAACAAAATGTCACTGGAAGCTGCCCCATTTCCAGAATTTCATTTTCCAGAAGCCACTGCTGCCTGTGGGGCCTTTGGGGGCTGGCAAGAGAAAATTCCAGTTATTCTATGGAGCTGGCACAGATAAACAGGTCCGAGGTAAATGTCCAGGGAAGTGAGGATAAACTCTCTGCCCTGAAGGTCTGTTCCCATTAAAAAGTTCAAAAATCCTTGCACATCCACAACTCTCCAGGAAGGAGTGAGGTGAAACTTGTCTGGTACCACCCTGCAGATTCCTCACAGAGGACAAGAAGGATCCCAACAGCAGAGAGAGAAACCCAAGAATTCCTGATGCCAGAGGGCTGCTTTTCCTTGGAGATTTATACAAAAGACACAGAAGTTCTTCTTAAAAACAAAAAGAACTCATTAAATTAATGTAAGGAGTTCAAAGTTCCTCAAGTTTTTCCTGTTTCAGAACAGGATGAACTATTTTGGACAGAACCCAGGGAGTTTTTTAGCCTATAGGTTGGGAGGCAGAGGATCCCTGGGAGGCTCCAGACAGGAGGAACAACTCCAAGTGCTCACTGAGCTTCACAGCCCCCACATTCTGCCCACTTACCTCCAAAAATGCACCACAGCACTCCTGAAACTCAACTTTTCACTTGGTTGAACAGCACTCAAGGCAAAGTTATTTCCTCTCACTTAAAGGAATAACTTAAAATATTAAAATTAATCCTTAAAATTCCAGCAGGAAAGAAGAGCTGCAGCATCCAAGTTGTGTCAGCCTCCAGAGAGGCACTGCCTCCAAAACATCTCCCACAGGGACTGGCTGCACTCCTGAGCATGTGGGAAGCCCAGCCCACTTCTGTATCCTCAGAACAGCTCTGATACAACACCTTGGACACCAGAGAGGATCCAGCTATGCTGCCAATTCCTAAAAAAGCTGAAATGAGCTCCAACGCCTCTAAATCTGGTTTCTCCACAGTTGTTTTAGTTTGTTCCCATTGACTCAGCCACTTCCCACATGCAGGAAGTCACAGGTGATGAAGCACCATTACTCCCTGTCCTACCAACCCTGACCAAGGGTTCAGAGAGCTGGGAAAGCCCTGGGAGAAACTCCTCTGTCCTGCAGACTAGATTTGGGGCAGCTCAGAATGACCCCATGTGATCTGTGAGCACAGCTTGTCTCAAAGTCCCCAAGAAGGGTGACATTTCATCTAAAGCCACCTTCAAACCTCAGAAAATCCAGGGGAAGTTTCCAGAAGCCGAAGATTCCACAGCAGGGCACCCTCCAGCTCACTTTGCAATTGTATAAAAATGGAAAAAATGATTTTGTATCAACTGCCTTGTGCTGCTGCTGGAGCTGAACTCAAATCCTGGTTATGCTGCAAAGTTCTGGGGGTCAGAAGTAGCTACTGAGCTGGTGGCACGTTCCATCAAATGGGAATTTAGACAGGAAAAAACTGCAGAATCACAGAAACACTCCCAAACACACCCCACCCAGTTTCTCCCTGTCCTCATGGATCCCCACAAGTCCCCCAGTGTGGGAATCCAGGGCTTCCCTCTGGCTGCCCTGGCAGGTCTGGGACCCTGGCAGGGGTCAGGAACCCCCCTGGACAGAGCCCTCAGAGACACTGTCTGTGATCTCTGTCCATGGAAAAGAGTTTTCAATCTTACAGGATCAATTACCAGCTCTGAGTGTTTGATATAAGGAATAATTAAGTGGCACGGGTGCAAAAGTAAAATTTTAGGATTCTAGATTAGGGGTCCAAAGGGGACAAGATGGAGGAAATTGGGTGTGCCTTGTCCTTTTTCTCCTTCTTCATGCCCTCCATGTTTCACTGTGGTGTTGGCATTTTTCTGTTGGTTCAGGCTGGGGACACACTGTCCAACGTAGGTGACAGATATTGGCACGTTATTGTAAATCCAGCACAGGTAGTTTCTGGTATTTAATGTTTGTAACATCCCACTGAGGGCAGAGCCCCACACGCTGCCCTGCAGGACAGAGCTGCGGCAGGGCAGCAGAACATGTTAGAGATAAACAGAATAAACAACCTTGAAACCAGCACAGACCAATTATGGCTTCTGCTTTGGCAGCGGGGCTGAAAGACAGAGACTTTCTACAATCTCAGAATCATCAATACCTCAGATTCCAACACCCCAGAGCCCAGGAGAGGGGTTACTCACTTGCCATGGGAATAGGTCAGTTTGTTGTTCTCGGATGGGATTTTGGCCAGGATCTGCTCGGTCACCTCCAGGAAGTTGCCCCCACACCAGGCGTGCTTGGCCAGGATGGTGGTGCCCCTCGCCACGACTGCAAACAGGATGGCCATGGCTGCTCTCCTGCTTGGGACACAACAGGGTGACATCAGGACTGCGGGCACCTGCAGGGCGGCACAGGGACCTGCACAGTGTCCCGTGGCCAGGACTCAGCCAGGACACCACAACCACAAAGTTCTCTCACTTCCCCTTTTAGGCTCTGCTCACGACGACACAAAACCCTCTAGGAAAAGGGGTTTTATCACCTCTGTGCCCTGTGAGGGTGGCAAAGCTCAGGTTGCCCAGAGAAACTGTGGAGCCAGCATCCCTACCTGAAGAGCAACCAAGGCAGAAACCAAACCCAACAAGTTTATGAAGATGAAAGAAAGCTAAGCCTTGGATAAGTCACGTTAAATGCTGCTCAGAGCAGAGGGAAGAGCAACCCCAACAGCCAGAGCAGCTGTGGCTGCCCCTGGCAGTGCCCGAGGCCAGGCTGGATGGGGCTTGGAGCAGCCTGGGTTAGCAGAAGGTGCTGGGAGTTGGAACTGGATGAGCTTCAAGCTTCTTTCCAACCCTAAGCCATTGTGGGATTCCCTAAGTCTCCAGAGCTGGAAAAACATCCCTGCTGCCACAGAAAGGGACACTCTTAATCAGCTCAAGTATCAGCACATTAATCTACAGCCAGAGCCAGATCTAACACATGGAGCACATGTCAGAGCCCAGCTGGGACAGCTGCCCTGCTCATCCTGCACATCCATAAGCCTCTTTTCTGCTCAGGAACGACTTAGGACGACTTTGGACCCCGCAAAACCCAAAAATCTCATTTTTCACTTTGCACTTAGACCCTACTTATTACCTGCTCTGTTCTGTGCCTCAACAGATCTGGCACGATCACAGACCTGCCCTGAACCCCCCAGGAGACCTCTCTGGGAGCAGCCACAGAGCAGGAGTGCTGGCTGAGCTTCTGGATCCACATTTTCCATCTCCCTGGCACTGCCTGGTGAGAATCAGGGATCTCCTCTGGATTAACAAGGCCGTGAAGGGAGATCCAACCACCACCCCAGCAGGGCTCACCTGGGCAGGCTGAGCCCACAGATCCAGGCTTGGCCAGCACTGACCAGAGCATCTCCAAACCTCCCACAGGTCTGAGCCCAGCATTGGAGGGGAAACGGATAAATGCATGGATTTACTCACAGGACAGACTCCACACAACCACCTGGGAGCACTGCCAAGGGGAACAGAACCACGGAATGGGTGGGGCTGGAAGGGACCTCAAGACCATCCCCATGGCAGGGACACCTTCCACTGTCCCAGGTGGCTCCAAGCCCCATTCAGTCTGCCCTTGGCCACTTCCAGAGATCCAGGGGCAGCCACAGCTGCTCTGGCTGTTGGGGTTGCCCTTCCCTCTGCTGTAAGCAGCATTTAATTTGACTTATCCAAGGTTTAGTTTTCTTTCATCCTCATGAAAAATTTGTTGGGTCTGGTTTCTGCCTTGCTTGCCCGTCAGGTAGAGATGCTGGCTCCTGCAGGAAGCTTCCAAGGAATTGCTTATTCCTTTATGCTTCAGCTCTGAGTAAGCTCCACTTTGGCTCATTTTCAGGCTGAAATGCTCCTGTCTTAAATAAGACTGTGAGCTAACTCAGCCCAGGGAATTCACTGCACCCTCCTGGCCCTGCAGAGCCACTGGACACTGAGGCTTTGGCCTGCCCAGGGCTGCCCCAGGCTGTGGAGCCAGCACCAGGGAATCACAAACACCTCTTGAGCAACCAGCTGAGTGTCCAGCACCAGGAAACCACTGCCTGCTCCTGCAGACACCCAGGAGCCACAGAAAGGAGCAGAAAGCACATTCCCAGAGCCTGCCCCTGCCCTGCAAGGACCAGCTGAAGCTCAGGGTACAGAGCCCACACACACAGACACCTCAGTGCCCTGAGCAGAACAAGAGCAGCCCCAGCTGAGGATTGTGAACTGGTTTAGACAATTCCTACAAATCTCTGCTCTTTTAATATTGGATATGAATGGAACCCGAGGTGACACTTCAGCAGCAGAGTGAGGTGACACTCGCTGGCACTGCAGGATCCCCAGTCCTCAATTCCCTGAGTTCCTGGCTCTCACCTCCCCGGATTCACAGCCCTCATCTCCCCGAGTTCACAGGCCTGACTCCCCAAATTCTTGGCCCTCGCTGTGCTCAGGACACAGGAGCTCTGTGTCTGGCAGCAACACCAACCCCATCTCTGAGCAGAAGGGGTTAAATGAAATAAAACAGATTAACCAGGAGCATTTTTTGTACCAGCCGTGTGTTACTCCTGTTAGTAACACAAATCTGCTAAACTGCCACAGAACGTCCTTCCTCAGCAGTTACAGGAGAATGAAATCCCTTTGAATCAACCCCTCTGCAGAGCTTTTTTCTGTCTAAACTTACAATGTCACACAGCTGGAAGCAGCCAAGACCAAACCTTCCAAAAAGACAATGCAAGATGCATGAGCTGCTGTCTGAGGTCCCTCTGGGGATTGAACTGAAGGATCCTAGAAACACAGAAGGGCTTGGGTAAGAGGGACCTCAGAGCCCACCCAGTGCCACCCGTGCCATGGCAGGGACACCTTCCACTGTCCCAGGCTGCTCCCAGCCCTGTCCAGCCTGGCCTTGGGCACTGCCAGGGATCCAGGTGCAGCCCCAGCTGCTCTGGGCACCTGTGCCAGGGCCTGCCCACCCTCACAGGGAACAATTCCCTCCCAATACATGGGCATGGAAAAAAGGCACAAAAAAAACCTCTTAAGGAGCATCAGAAACACAGGCTCAGTCTCAGCATGATGTTTAAAACTGCTGTAGGGGTGATTTACCGTTTTCCAGAGACTCTTCTGGCCCAAAAGATTCCCAGCTCAGTGCCAGTGAGCAATGGAAAGTCCCTTCCAGAAATCCTCCTAACAGAAAGCAAAGGGCACCGAGGAACAAGGGGAGGTGTTGCAACCCAGTGAGTTGCAAACTGCTGCAATAAAGAGATCGTTTGAGCAGGGTGAGCTCAGCAGAAAGCAGCCCAGGCTTCCCTTTAACCTCTGCTGGGCAGTTGGAAAAATCATTATTTCATTATAGAATATTCCACCATGAAGTCCTGGGGCTCTCCTGTTCATTTTGAACCTGAGATTTGCCACATTTGTGCTCCAGCTTATCCCAAGTTCAGCCTCCTTTCTGCACACAGTTTACTTTGGGTTCCCCCACTGCATCACTATGGAACCAAATCACCAAGGAAATAAATCCACGTGGTCTTCCAGCCCCATCAAAGCCACACTGACCCATGTCCCCAAGTGCCACATCCACATGGCTTTAAACCCCTGCAGGGACAGGCACTCCACCCCTGCCCTGTCCCAGGGCTGGACAGCCCTGTCCAGGCCAGAATGTTCCCAATATCCCACCTAAACCTCTGTGGCACATCCTGCCATCCTGTCGCTGTTCCCTGGGAGCAGAGCCTGACTCCCTCCAGCCTCCCTGCACCCCCTGCCAGCACACCTGTGCTTAATTAATTAACTAATTAAGCCATGCAGTGCTATATCCGCAACACCGTCCACTCCCAGACACACCAGTAACACACCAGTAACACCTCAATAATAGGTAATACATGGGTAACACCCCAGTAACAAGCCAGTAACACACTAATAACACCCCACTAACACACTAAAAACATCCCAACAACTTACTGGTAACAACCCCGATAACAGGCCAGTAATATGGTAATAACAACCCAGTAACACAGTGATATAACCCCAGCAACACAGTGATATAACCCCAGTAATACCGTGGTGATATCCCAGTAATATCCCCGGTAACAGGCCAGTAACACAGTGATATAACCCCAGTAATACCGCGGTAATATCCCAGTAACATCCCTGGTACCAGGCCATTAGTACACTAATAACACACCAGTAACACGGCAATAACATCCCAGTAACACGGCAATAAGCCACCAGTAACATGGCAATAACACACCAGTAACATCCCAGTAATACGGCAAATAACACACCAATAACATCCCAGTAACACAGCAATAACCCACCAAAAACATCCCAGTAATATGGCAAATAACCCACCAATAACATCCCGGTAACACGGCAATAACCCACCAAAAACATCCCGGTAACAGGGCAATAACCCACCAGTAACACGGCAATAACCCACCAATAACATCCCGGTAACAGGGCAATAACCCACCAATAACACGGCAATAACACACCAGTAACATCCCGGTAACACGGCAATAAACCCACCAATAACATCCCGGTAACACGGCAATAACCCACCAAAAACATCCCAGTAATATGGCAATAAACCCACCAATAAGATCCCGGTAACAGGGCAACAACCCACCAGTAACACGGCAATAACCCACCAGTAACATCCCGGTTACACGGCAATAACCCACCAAAAACATCCTAGTAATACGGCAAATAACCCACCAGTAACATCCTGGTAACACGGCAATAACCCACCAAAAACATCCCAGTAATACGGCAAATAACCCACCAGTAACATCCCGGTTACACGGCAATAACCCACCAGTAACACCCCGGTAACAGGCCACTAACACACTAATTACATCCCAGTACCAATCAGTACCACCCCAGTACCAATCAGTACCACACCAGTACCAATCCGTAGCACACCAGGCCGCAGCAGCTCTCCCATCACACGCCCATAAACCCCGGTAAGCCCCGGTAACCGCGGCCACCCCGCCGTGCCCCCCGTGCCTGTGCCGAGCGCGGCCTCCTCCTGCCCACAGCGCCCGCCGGCCCCGGGGCTGGGGCTGTGGCTGTGCCCGGCCGGACCCCGCACCCGAACCCCCGGCCCGGCCCGGCCCGGACCCCCCGCGCTCACCGGCGCTCCCGGGCCCCGCCGGCCCCGGGGCTGGGGCTGTGCCCGGCCGGACCCCGCACCCGAACCCCCGGCCCAGCCCGGCCCGGCCCGGACCCCCGCGCTCACCGGCGCTCCCGGGCCCCGCCGGCCCCGCTCGGCCCCGCCCGGCCCGGCCCGGCCCGGCCCCGACGCGTTTCCGGCCGCGGGGCCGCCGGGAGCCCCGAGCCGCCATGGCCGGCAGCGGCAGCGGCGGCGGCAGCGGGCCCGCGCTGGAAACCGTGAGGGGCACCGCGAGCCGGGCTGGGGTCGCGGCCGGGAGGTGGAGCGGGAGGCCGGGCCCTGCTGCTGAGGGAAAGCGGCCTCACGTTGTGCCGGGGAGGGTCAGGCTGGATATTAGGGGAAATTCCTCCACGGACAGGGCTGTTCTGCCCAGGCAGGGGTGGAGTGCTTTAAATCCTGCAGGGATTTACAGCCCTGTGGATGTGGCACCTGGGGACATGGGTTGGGCTGGCCTCGGCAGTGCTGGGGAATGGCGTTGCTCGGTGGTCTCGGAGGGCTTTTCCAACCTCAGTGATTCCGTGCTTCCATGATTCTGTCATTCCCAGACATTGGCATTGCCATCAGGGCAAATGGTGTCAGGATGGCTCCAAGGGACGCTCTGTCATGCTGTGGTGAACAGCAGCAAGTGGAGGTCAGGACTAGCCTGGTTTAAAACTAGGTGGAATTTTGGAGCTTTCCCTCCTCCCTGAAGGTGTTTTGGTCCCACAGCAGCACCAGAGGTGGCCCAGTGAGATCTACAACCCTCCTAGTTACTCTGGGGAGCTGATCCTCACCCTTCAGGTGTCCCCCACCTCAGGGAGGTCACAGCTTCTCTCCTCTCCCACTGGTGACAGATCCAGGCGGATGGGACAGATGGGAACTGCGTCACATTCGTGCTGCACGACGAGGATCACACCCTGGGCAACTCCCTGCGCTACATGGTCATGAAGAAGTGAGTGGGGCCTCTGAGGGCCCTCCCTGCCCTGCTCTGGCCTTCTCCTTCCTGATCCACACCTCAGCTGTCCCTGGGACGAGGCAAACGATCCCAAATCCCCTTTGTGTCAGACATGGAGCCCTGTTCCCACCTGCTGTTCCTCCTTTTCCTTGTGCTGTGCCAGGACCCTGAGAGCACCAACAGCCCTTAAAGGACCTGACCAGCCTCTCCTGTGCCACCACCCACACCCTCCTCTGCCCAGGAACCCAAGTTAAGCTCAGCCCAGGGCTTTCAGTCCCTCCTGAGCTGCTGGAGGAGTAACTCAGTCCTGGACTCTATTTACTGCCCAGAGAAGCTGTGGATTTCCCATCCCTGGCAGTGTCCCAGGCCAGGTTGGACACTGGGGCTTGGAGCACCCTGGGATAGTAGAAGGTGTCCCTGGCCATGGCAGAGCTGGGATTTGGGGGCCTTTAAGGTCCCTCTGATAAATCACTGTGGCAACATAAAAGAAGCTGGTGGCCGAAGCTGAGGGCAAAGTTCCAGCACTCAGCTCAGCTGCAAGAGAGGCTCTGCAACATTTTGGGAACTCCTCCAGTGCCCTGGACCTATTCCACCCAGCAGAGCAGCAGCAGGTTTGGTTACAGAGAGAATTCCAAACATCCAGGACCCCGTGTTTGGATCTGCAGAGCTGGCACTGCTCTGGTTGTGGTGCCAGCACGGTGCCAGCTGTGTCTTTGCCCTGTAGAGCTCCAGCTCAGCTCAGAGAGAGATGGGTGTGAGGGAGCAAGGCCACACAGGGAGTTTCCCCTCGGCACATCCCTCCCCTAAGTCATTCTAGAAACATCCAGAGCCCCAGCAGGCCTGATGTGCCCTGAGCCTCTGACTTCCGTGGGATTTGCTGTGGACTGGCTGGGTCTCACTGCTCCCTCTGCCCTCCTGCAGCCCTGACGTGGAGTTCTGTGGCTACTGCATCACACACCCCTCAGAAAGCAAGATCAACTTCAGGATCCAGACCAGAGGTGAGGCTGGGGCTGTCCCTCTGTGGCTGGGGTCCTGTTCTCATGGAATTCCCCCTGCTCAGGCCAGCTTCCCAGGAGTCTGTGAAATAAAGGAAAGCCCTTTTTCCCTGCCCTCTGCAGGCACTGCAGTGCTGAGCCCCATTGCTGAGCCTCAGAGGCTGCTCCCAGAATTCTGCTCCAGCTGCAGTGGGAAGCAGCATCCCTGGCACTGCAAGCTGTGGGACTGGGGAGGGGGCACACCCCTGGGGAGGTAAGGACTGCCCTTGGGAAGCCACCTCCCATGTCCCTAATACACCTTTTCCCATCTTTTCCCAAAGGAGCTCTTCCTGCTGTGGAGCCATTCCGGAAGGGGCTGAATGACCTGATGGGTGTGTGCCAACATGTGCTCAACACCTTTGAGGTGAGACATTCCTGGGGAGCTCAGAGTCAGTTCTGTCCCTTGGGCCATTCCTGAGGAGCTCAGGGTCAGTTCTGTCCCTGTGGGCCATTCCTGGGGAGCTCAGGGTCAGTTCTGTCCCTTGGGCCATTCCTGGGGAGCTCAGGGTCAGTTCTGTCCCTTGGGCCATTCCTGGGGAGCTCAGGGTCAGTTCTGTCCCTCATTTCCAGAGTGGGAAGCTGAGGCCTGCTGGAGACACCTTTGGCAGGAAAACCTGGGATTTTTTTTGGCCAGGCTCTGCCTGGTCTGTGGCATGGCCTGGCTCCCTTTCTCTTAGAGTGACTGTAAACTTCAGTCACTTCCAAAAAAAGCACCTGGAGCTCTGTCAGAGCTTCCCAGCCTTTCCAGGCTCCAACCAGAGCAGTCCCAGCACAGCTCTGTGCCACCCCAGGGACATGTTGGTGACATTTGTTCTTTGCTTTTGTTTCAGAGGAGCATGAAGGAGTTCAGGGCACAGAAGGAGGAGGAGATGCAGTAGCCTTTGGGAGTGGCATGGATGTGGAACCTCTGTGTGTTGAATTCCCTGTGTCCAAACAAGGTCGTTTTTGTTGGGGTTTTTTTATGACTTTGCTGCAAATTGTATTTTCTTTAATAATAAAAAGTTTATTAATTTAGATACTGCAGAGCTCATTATGTGTTCTGCTCAGCACAGGGATGGAAAGTCATAGAACGTGGAGACAGATTGCTCCACAGATTGGGAAATTTGGGAAAATTTCTGCTCCGCAGATTGGGAAAATGGGCTAGTCTTGATATTCCTCAGTTTCTGTTTTCCTTGAAACCCATTTGTCTTCATGATTTATTTGTAAAACATTTACATTTCAGTGAAAGGTAAGCTACAAGTCCACCCCAACACCTGGAAAATGTTTTAATTGCAGGTCACGTCTCTTCTCCCCTTTTCCTCTCTCCATTTTTTTCTGTGACAAGGTAGAAGAGGAGAAGAAGGAAAAGAGAGAGAGGGAAAAGAGAGATGTAGGAAAACCAACAAAAAATTGTAAAAAACCTGATAAATACAACTTTTTCATGTAGTTTTTCTGAAAGTTTTGGCAAGAACATTAGAATGGAATCACATGGATTCACAGACTGGTTTGGGTTGGGAGGGACCCCCACTCCCTCTCCTCCCACCCCTGCCATGGGCAGGGATTCCTTCCCCTATCCCAGGGTGCTCCAAGCCCTGTCCAACCTGGCCTTGAAAATCGCTGGCAAATCACCTGGGGGATGAATTACTGCCAATAATAAATTCGAGAGAGCCCTTTCCCATATTTTACTTGGTTCTAGTGGCTCTTCCAGCTGAGATTGAATCTTCTCCACTGCCTTTCCCACCTCCACATGACCACGAGGACATCTCTGTCCCTCACAAGGGTTTATCCAGGCTTTGCTTGGCTTTTACAGCTGGGAATTGTCACTCTCCCTCTTCTCCTCACCCCAACATTCCTTCCCTTCCCACACACACCCCCCCACCCCACGTTCCACCCCGAGGCAGTGGCCAGAAGTCCCTTGGTTTTCCTGGAAGGAAATGAAAAGTCCTGTGAGGATGTGAATGCCCTTCCCTCTCTCCCTCTCCTGCAGGGGTGACCGCTGGGGCCAGGGGCTGGGCTTGGAGCTGGTCCTGGGGAATGCTCCAGCTCCTTCCAGTTGGGTTAGGACACAAAGGCAAAGCTGATTCAGGCCCAGCCAGGAGGAGCCTGGGAGAGGATCGGAGGGGTCCTGCTGTCCTTGTGCCGTGTCCTGGGCAGTGACAGGGATTTAGGAAGAGCTGTACTTGTTGCTCAGGCGGGAGCTGCTCCGGTCCAGCCCCAGCTCCTGCCCCGTGGCTTTCCACTTCCCAACAGATCCCTTCTCATCCGTGGGGGTGATGCTCAGGGCCGGTCTCTGGCACCAGCAGCACAGGCATGACTGGGAAGACATAAGAGGGAGAGGTCACACACTTGGGATATGGGAAAAGAGGAGGAAATATTCCCACATCGTGCCAGCAGGTGGCCCTGAACAGTGCCAGGCTGGGAATTGCTGAGCACTGCTGTCCTGCATTTTGCTGGGAGCGGGTTTTCCAGGATAGGGCTGGTGAGGGTAGGAAATGAGGATGCTGAAATTTGGGGTATTTTTTGTAATTGTGTGTTCTTTTCATTAGGGGACAGAAAATAAAGGTGAAATACAGGTGATGCTTAGCTGGGCTCAACTCCCATCCCATCCCATCCCATCCCATCCCATCCCATCCCATCCCATCCCATCCCATCCCATCCCATCCCATCCCATCCCATCCCATCCCATCCCATCCCATCCCATCCCATCCCATCCCATCCCATCCCATCCCATCCCATCCCATCCCAATCTCCTTCCCTTTCTTTCTCAGGGCTTCACTAATCCAAAAAATTATCTCCCAACGTCTTGGGTTCAAAGTGTGCAGCAGCCCCAGCTCCTGGTCTGAGGGTTTGTGGGGATGTTCCTGTCCCAGAGTGACAGGGAATTTTTGGCTTATCCTAAATCCTGCTCTCACAAAAGCCTCCCCCCAGCAGGGCACTGAGCTCTGGTGTACTTGGAGAAGATAGGTATCTAACAGGGAAAATTTGGGATGAAGAATAAGATCAGCTTGTGCCCCTGGGCCTGGTGAGTGCAGCCAGGAGCTCTGGAAGGATCATTCCTACCTGGAAGCAGTTCTTGAATTTCCGGCTGACAAAGTACAGAGCCACGGGGTTGATGCAGGAGTTGAGGGAGGCCATGTTGATCCCAAAATAATCCATCACCAGGAGAAAACTGGGATGGGAAGGGAGAAAACAGATATGTCAGAAGCTCATGAAGAACAGAGGGAATTTCCAAACTGCCTGGCCTGGGATCCTGCTTCCATGGAGGAGCAGTGACTGATAACAGAGCTGAGCACAAATCCATCCTTCCCTGAGAAAAAACACTTTTCCTTGCATGGAGCATTCCCTGAGGAAGCCAAGAACATGAGCTGTGATTTCTCCTGGTGCTTTCTGATGTTACCAAACCCCAGCACAGCAGCAGCCCCGGCCTGGGCTGGATTTTGGCTGATGGGTGGAAGGGGAGGGAGACAGACACCTCCCACCTGGCAGAAAGTGAGGAGCCCTCAGCCCTGCTGGAAATGTTCCTGTGCCTAGGAGACCTCAGCCTCACAGGAACATTCCAAAATATAATTTAACCCTTCTCATGGGGTTAAATTATATTTTATAAAATACCCCTCCTCTCTGTGCCCATCAGGAGGGCAGTGCAAGGAATTACTGAAAGCAGGAGGTGGAAGGCAGATCCCCCAGTCTGGTCCAACCTGAGAGGGCCTGTGCTGGTGCCAGTGGGGTTCCCAGGCTGGTGTCACCTCCTGGGGCTCCCAGGCCAATGTCACCTGCTGGGGGCCCTACCTGAGCAGCTCGCAGCGGTTTGGGTCCATCTGGTCGTAGATGGTTTTCTTGAGGATGCGGCTGAGGTGCAGGGGCAGCCAGCAGAGTGCAAAGATCACCACCAGGCAGAACACGGTCTTGGCCACCTCCCGGCGCTGCCAGACAGGAGCAGGGGGGAGGATGAGCACAGGGGAGCAGGTCCCAAATCGTGGAATGGTTTGGTTTGGATTGGAAGGAATCTTAAAGCTCGTCTTGTCCCGCTGTGGGCAGGGACATTTTGCACCAGCCCAGGTTGCTCCTGGAATTCTGCATCAGGTCCAGGCTGCAGAAAAGGGCAGGGCAGCAGCAGCTCCACGTGGGCCAGACCCCTCCCCACCATCACTCCTGGTGGCTCTGCTGGGATGGTGTTCCCTGGGACACGGGGCCTCCTCCATCCACCCATCACGCTGTTAAGGTCACAACCAGCTGGAGCTCCTCAGGGAATCATTCCCAAAGGGTGGGAGGGGACAATGAACTCTTCCTGCACCCCTTGTCTGGGATTTGGCACATCCAGCCTTTGGTCCAGTGTGGTGTGTGCTGGGATAAATGACCAGGAGAGCTCTAATGAAGCTGGGCTGTGGCCAGAAGGGTTTGGGGTCATCCCTGAGGCTGGAGATTATGGAGCTGAAGGCCCTTTTCCCTGGTGTAATCCCTGCACCAACGTGCCAAATTCCTCTGTGAGGCATTGCCAGCTCATCCTGTCCTTCACAGGGATGGGAAGTGTCCCCCCTCCAACAGCACTCTTTGGGAATGCCAGGATTCCTCCCTGGCTCTCTCACCCGTTTCATGTGGTCATTCAGAGCAATCCTCATCCCGTTCCTCTTGCTCAGCATCTCACAGGACATGAGGGTGTAGAAGATGCCCGTGCACACCAAGGGCAGGCAGAAATAGAAGCCAAAAAGCCACCAGTCCTTCACATCCCGGTAGAACTGCGGGGGAAAGGGAGAAGGAGCAGCTGGGAATGGGGAAAGGGCAGCAGGGGTAGCTTGGGATGCACATGTACCCTCCTGGAGCAGGATTGGGATTTGGATTGGGATTGGGATTGGGATTCGGAATGGGATTGGTAATGGGATGCACACATACCCTCCTGAAGCAGAACTGAGATTGGGATTTGAGTTGGGATTGGGATACACATGTACCCTCTTGAAGTGGGATTGGCATTAGGGTTGGGATTGGGATTGGGATGGGGATTGTAATTGGGATTGGGTTAGGATTGGGATTAGGATGAACACAAATCCTCTTGAAGCAGGATTTGGATCAGGGTTGGGATTGGGATGCACAGGTACCCTCATTAAGGGTGATTGGGATGAGTATTGGCATTTGGGTTGAGACTGGGATTAGGATGCACACGTATCCTCCTGAAGCAGGATTGGGATTAGGGCTGGGATTGGGATTGGGGTGGGGATGCACGGGTACCCTCATGAAGCGGGACTTCTGCTCCGAGGCCAGCATGCACACCCACAGGTGCTGCTCCCAGTAGCTCAGCTCCACCATGTCGAAGGCGATGGCCTCGGGCACTGCCAGCACGATAGCCACGGCCCAGATCAGCAGCACCTCCATGGCCTTCCACATGGGGATCCCAATGCCCTGGATCCGGCTCCAGGACGCCACGGCTCGGTACCTGCCCGGGGTGGGAACGGCACAGGAGCAGATGGGAGTGAGAAAAGCAGCCAGGGAGGGGAGCAGAAGGGGCAGGTTAGAATTGTCCCCAAAGGTCCTTTCCCTCACACCTTCCTCCTCCACCTCGGGACCTTCCCAAGTGTGGGAATGGGAAGCAGGGGCTCAGTGGAGGGATGGGATGGGATGGGATGGGATGGGATGGGATGGGATGGGATGGGATGGGATGGGATGGGATGGGATGGGATGGGATGGGATGGGATGGGATGGGATGGGATGGGATGGGATGGGATGGGATGGGATGGGATGGGATGGGATGGGATGGGATGGGATGGGATGGGATGGGATGGGATGGGATGGGATGGGATGGGATGGGATGGGGGCTGTCTTTGGCCACCCTTCCTCACCACTCCACCCACACCATGATCCTCCCCTCAGCCTTTCCCAGCAGGATTTCAGCTCTGTCACCAGAGACTTCCTGCTGGATTCCAGCTCCACATGAGAGCAGTCTGTCCCCACCTTGGCACTGACCTGGGAACGAGCTCCTGGCTCTGCCTCAGGTCCCAGCCAAGGGCCAGGGGCAGGCTCGGCAGGGCAGGGGTGGCTCTTGTGTCTC